GGATTCTATCGCAGTCATGCCCCAGGTTTATGGCAGAAAACCCTACCTTTGGGAAAATAAATGCACCGGCTTCTCATGAAAGAAGTAATATCTAAAAATTATTGAGTATAATCTGGGCAATAAAGCTTTTTTTTCCTTAATCCTGTGAATACCATATTATATTATTTTCAGCCACATCCAGAAATGTCATTGATATTCAAAAAGATTTATTTTTATTCCACTTTGACTTAAAAGTATTGTTTTAACCTAAGAAAATCCTTTTATAAAAGGTGAATGTGATTGTTGCTTCATGGAGATTATTTATCACTGAATTCAGAATACCACCACAGAATGTTTTTCATGGAAAATCAATTTATAAATATATGGTAGAGTGAATTCTAGAGTAATGCATTAACCATGGATAACTGAACTGCTTAAAACAATTTTTTTAAACCAATTGGCTAAAAGTTGCTATGAGAAAAACTCTAGATACCATTTCCTAAAATTGTTCTGTTTTGTTTAAATATGGTTTAAAATGGTGTTAGGGGGAAAAGATGTGCCCCCTTAGGGATTGTCAGAAAGAATCAAAAGCAGCTTAGCAAGGAGACAGAAATGGAAATGTGATATTTATCAGGGGAAATAAGGGTATGATTAAATAAAATGGAACCAGCCCCCATGCTAGAAAAACCCTAATGTGGAGGTCATATGTGAGGCGTTTCTGTCATCTTCCGAAGAGCGGAGGCCGGACTGGCCAAGAATGGCTTTGCCAGAGCAATGCAAGGAAGACTAGGTTGAGTTTATTTCTCAGATCAGGTTCAACCTCCTGAAAGCCCAGATGAAATAAAATCTTCATTAAATTCACGAGAGGATCTGAGAATCTCAGCCTGGCCTTCAACATCACTCTCAAGGAGTTGAATTGGAAGCCTTCCCTAGTCCCGAGGAGGGCAGGTCCTAAGTACACAGCTCCTTGCCCTGTGGAGATCTCCAGCTCGTTCAGGGAGATCTGGCCTGTTCCATGTCTCTGTAGTTAAAATGTTCTGCAGCTTGTCTCTTCTGTCCTCAAATATGTATTAGACAAATACAAACTAAGTAGGAAATGTATTATAGAGGTTATCTGTTTCAGTGAAAAGCACACCAGTCTAAAAGTGCTTTCTGGATCTGCAGTGCATGCAGATCACTTGGGGAATCTTTCACAAAAGCAGATTCTGAATCAGTAGGCCCAGAGTGGGGACTTAGAGTCTGTGTTTCTATCGGGACCGCTGGTCCAAGGGTCAGACTTTGAAGAGTGAAGATCTAAAAGACTTGACTTCAAGTTTTGGCTTCTTAAAACTCAGTTTTCCCACTTGTAAAAGGAGTGACTTTGGACCAAGATACCTTTTAATTCTGACCTTCAGCAGCACCATGAGGCATGGAGAACACAGGCTGGTGTATGTCTAGAGGGCATTTCCACTATGAGTTTTCAAGGACTCCCCATTATAACACCTTGAAGACAAAATGGAAAGGTGAACACAAAAAGGCAGGAGATACAGTTTGTATTCTGATGATTCCATAGTGACTACAGTTTTATTCACATTGTGCCTTTGCCAACATTCAAAGGCTTCGCTTTAGTTGGATCCCATGATCCACAAATGAACGTTCTAATTGTGCTTTGTTTTTCTCAAATATGCTTTTGGGTAGGCTTAATTCTTTCCGTAGCATGCCTAATGGAACAGTCCAATTCCAATACTGATCAAGCATAATCACAAAAGATTATTATCTTTAGACCTCAAACATATTTCTAACCAGAGTAGAAGGGAAGATACAGCTTGATATTACAATTATTAAGCTGAACCTGTCAGTTGTAGAGGAATTCAGTACCATCTTGGATCTTAACCCTCAGCCACCCCTAGATGTTCCCTTCTTAGTGGGATCTTTCCAGAGGCCACATCACAGTTAGTAGCCCCCTCCCACCCCTCTGTCCAATTCACACTTCCACTGGAGCAAACACCTCATGGTTGGGCTCAAACTCATTTAGTTACGTGCCCATTTTGTCCCTCACTCAATTATGAGCTCCTTAAGTCATCCTGAGAGAATCTGGCAGACTCAGAGTCCAGGTACATGAGTGTACACTTCAGCGTTGTTCCATCCTGGCCATATGACCCCAGGAGGACCCTGGAAGCTCTGGCCTGAGTACTCCTCTCTGCCTTCATGTTTGATAAGCCACTCTCCCCAGATTGCAAACTCTGTCCTCTCAGGAGTCTGAAAATCTAAATGCTTGCAGGGCCAGGTAGTAGGAGTGTGGGAAGTAGTGGGTGGTGATAGTCTAGGGGATGGTAGGGATGCTTACTAACCACCCTCACCCCAGGCACTCTGATTCACTCTCTTTATACACAACAGGGTTGAGGTCAAGCAGAAACTCTAGTACCCAGCTACAGACCCTGCTTTACATCACCTGGTTCCTGATTTGTACATAATAGGGGTTCCCAAGTTGAACTTGGAAGAAAGAACAGTGGCAATATTCAAAATAATTAAGAAAAGGGGTAGTGTGGGAATCAGAACAACTCTTTCTTAGAACTAAGCATTGTGCCGGGTTTTAACCCTTTAGTTGCCAGATCAAGGGAAAGTCTGAATGGAGGGGTCAGGGCAGTGGGGCCTGGTGCATTTCAACTGAATGTCAGCCCTGAGAAAGACAGGTTTTAGAGTTAGAGTATCATAATTTAACCATTTTGATTTACTACTTAGTATCTATTAGATCAAGTTAGAAAATTGCCCCGAGACCCAGTTTCCTCATCTTTGAAATGGGTTAGCAACACCCACTTTGCAGGATTGTGGTGAGGATTAAATGAACCAATGTATAGAATGTTTCTTGAAGAGTACCTGGCACAGATGCTCAGTCAGTGAACATAGTAGCAGTGGCAGCTTTTCACTATTATCATTAAAAGATAACAAATGGTTATTGATTGAATGCAGACAGCTTGCCTCTGTATTGCCCTTGCTTTATGTAGTAGGATAATTATGGTGGGCCAGGAGAGGTCTTGGGGTAGTGTTGCTGTCGTGGCGGCTTACTCTCAGGGAGGAGGGGTCTGTAGGACATAAGGGGAGGGGGAAGCTTTGTTCCTGGGGCTGGAGCTACAAGACAGTCAAATCTTTAGATTGCAGCAGCCATGGGCTGCTCCTGATCTATGGAAGCTCACTTTTTGATTTGCAGGCATTTTTAAAGACACAGGCATTATTATGAAGAAGCTTAGCTACTGGTTATCCTTCTGAGAGGCATGAGTTATCCTTTGTGAGCCTCTTAAGCTATCAATAAGAGATGTGCTGCATATGCATTTCCCTGAGTGAATCTGTCTGCTTTTGGAATTCCCTTGCGCTGTGCTGATACATTCTTTAAATCATCTTCTGGATATGCATTGGGTGTCCTGGTAGGAGTAATCTCTACTGAGAAGGGTGATCTGTGTATATTCAGCCCCATAATACAGAGAAAAATATGCCAAATATGCCATCCACACCCAGGCAGAGGATGACCACCCACCTCTTTGTAGTACTCCAGTCTAAATAAAAACAGGTTTTTGGTTTTTTGGTCTTATTTTACAATCACTCCCAGCATTCACCATTCACTGTATCTGTGTGAACGTGGCTATCTGCAAAGCAGCATCCACATGTCATTGATGTAAAGTCACAAGACCTTGCCAGGTGTTTTCTTTCCTGGGTCTTCTATTGATCTATTAACTGTGTATTTAGCAAACTAATTTGGGTTGAATGTTTAAATAGGCTATTTCCCAAGCTAATCTAAAGCAATAAATAAACCAGTGTTTTTTTTACCTTCTTACTTCAATGCTGCAGAGTATCTTGAATGTGCTTTTGAAAATGGTGCTTGAGTGAAGCAAGGGAAAAAGCAGAAGTGGATGAAAGATGAAGTAGTAGCTTCTTTAATGCCACATCTAGAAAGCTTTCATTTATTAATCATGCCACTTCCCCAAGACATTTTACACCCTTTTAGAAGCTCTCCTGAACTAACATTTGCCACACTGAGTATTATTTCATCCTGAGAAAGATTCTGCACAGGCCTTGTGGAGATCTAGATTTTTAGAAGAAGAAAGTGAATTAGAACATTCAAGTGTATATGCACAGTGAAGCCAAGAGGGCCATCTATCTCAGTACTGATTTTCCATTTGTTTCCCTTAGGGATCAAAGCCAACCATGATAAGTTTCCCAGCCTACAAACAGCTCTTTCCCTTCTCTGTAAACTCCTGACTCCAAGAAAGAGCTTTCTCTTATGGGCAGATTTAGAAATTATTTTAAGATTAAGCTTAGGGATCAAAGCCAACCATGATAAGTTTCCCAGCCTACAAACAGCTCTTTCCCTTCTCTTTAAACTCCTGACTTCAAGAAAGAGCTTTCTCTTATGGGCAGATTTAGAAATTATTTTAAGATTAACTCTTGTAATCCCTAAACCCACCTTCCCCAATTCCAAAGGAAGGGCCTCAGCTTTTAGGAGGCACTAGAGAGAAAGAACCCATGGAATCCTCTAGAGAGGTCTTAAGGATCAGGCCTTGACCCACCGCATCTGCTACAGGCAGAGATGTGAAGCAGGCTGGAGGATCTACTTTGACCTGGGAGCCCTTGACTCAGTCTCCCACCTTGGCCTTGTCATGGTGCTAGGCTGGGCGTTCGGACCAAAGGTGACCTGACTGCGAGTCAAAGCCCAGGATTGCTCTGTGTGGAGACTTTTCATGCCTGCCCACTGTGTACCCATCCCCACAGGCTGGGCTGGAACATGACCATTTTGTCTTCTTGTGTGTGAGATGGTAGAAGAAGTAACTTCTCATCGACCCTTGCATTCAGTCATGGCAGCCAACAGTACCCCACACAGCTTCCTTTCCTACTTGAAACCTGATTACTGTGTCCTGAAGGATATATTTTTAAAGGGAATTTTCCCCATGCAAAATGCTGGAATGTATTTTGTTCCTTGTTCATTTGCTGTTACATGTATCATTTGCTGCCAATTTCTGATGTGTTTCTTTGTTTTCTGTGTGTTGCAGGCAGCATAGTGTACCTCGGGATGATGGTGGGGGCGTTCTTCTGGGGAGGACTGGCAGACAAAGTGGGAAGGAAACAGTCTCTTCTGATTTGCATGTCTGTCAACGGATTCTTTGCCTTCCTTTCTTCATTTGTCCAAGGTTATGGCTTCTTTCTCTTCTGTCGCTTACTTTCTGGATTCGGGTAAGGTTTTCTCTTTCATATTTTATAGTAATGTGTTTATTCTTCATAATTGCACACATTTTCACTCTAGAAGACCTCATTACCAGGAAATTATCCCTTAAATCATTTCCTTCCCTATCTTTGTGTCAGCCATAGGACCCACAATGCTGGTTCTTAGAAATATAATTATCAACCTTTAAATCCAGGAAAGAAGGGAACGTTCACCTATGTTCTTGTGGCTGATTGTTTTAGTGTTTTACTTCTAAGAAATGGATGATGTTTTAAATGGAATGCTGTTTCTATGGCAGAGCACATTCATACATGTGTGTTTCTTCTAAAAATTTAATTAGCAAGAAATAGCTCTGATCCTACCTATTATGAACTAGTTAAAGGCTTGAATCATTCAGGCATGCTCTTAAATCCAGGGTTAGAGTGTCTCAAATAAATGTTGTTTTATTGATCTATGTTAACTTAGCATATTTAACTAGGTAGAAAGCCTCCTTGAGACATAATAGATTCTTTTTGTAAGTTCCTGACTTCTGTTGAATTAACAGAAGTTGTGCTATTAGCCAAGTGTGGTGGCATAGTATAGCCAATGGTGTAGTCATTTTCCTTAAAGAGCTTGAAGCACTTAATACTATTCTATATGAATCCACAGTTTGGGAAAATCCAATACCTCGATTAGAACAGTAGAAGAAACTATGCTTT